CGTAATCTCGTTTCTTCTAGACTATTGTTTGTCGACATATATATCAAGTATCTTCTACTTTGGATAAGTTACTTTTCCCCCTTTTTGGTCTCATTTCCGTAAAATCTTGTTACCAACTTCTCAAAGTCTGGACATTTTTTTCTTCTTATTCTTCTTTCTTCATATCCCCTGCCCCTCAAGGCCGGTCCTAAGAATTCTAGGACCCTGTGCAAAGAAAAAAATTGGGCCTTTTTTTAATGTAAAGAGAAACAAAATGTATTTACCTAATGACTTAATGTCAATTTTTTTTAACCAGACTTAATATCAATTTATTCAATGCAAATGCAAAATTCCTGAGTGTTTACTTTCACACTTTGTTGTCTCGTTAGTTGTCTTGCTGTTAAAATGTCTTGCAGTTAAAATGGCGTATTCAGAAAAATTCATGTGGTGGGGAAACTTGCCTTAGATATTATCTCACGAATGTCAATCAACTAATCCATTAAAAAAATTGTAAAGACAAACATAGATAACAAAATATTCACTAGACAAAGTCATTACAATATCATGCTTAAAATAAATAATTTTCACTTTGTTACAAATCAATTTTTATCACATGTGTATGTTATTTGTTCAAAATCATGTTAAAAAATCTTTTTGAAAAGAAAAAAATGTAATACAAATAAGTAAAGCCACTTTAAATGATTTAAGGCTTTGAAAGAGCAAAAGGAAACAAAAAAAAAAACGCTTGCACCAAGTATTGAACACAGGACCTTTTCGAAGGTCTTAAACAGACATCCTCTCTTGGTTACCGCTCTGCTAACGTGAAGTATTTGTTGTTTATTCGCATTTACTATATATAATATATTACTGCTATTTTTTTTTGGGCCTTCAATTTTCATGGGCCCTGTGCCAATGCACAGCCTGCACCTGGCCTGGGCCGGCCCTGCTGCCCCTGGTTGTCATTAGAGTTCCTTTTTGACGGCGCACCACTACTTTGCACCGACGAGAAAGAAAAAACTCCATCAACTCAGAAAAAGGAGGAAGAAAAATGACAAATAAGCAAAGTGGAGATAGAAACAGGGTTGATGAAATCAAAAGAAAAACTAAATATCAATATAACTGTTAAATATCATGCACTATTTTAATTTTTCATTATCAAGCACTATTAAATACTCCCTCCGATTCAAAAACAAGTTCCGTCTTTCCTTTTTCGGGCAGTTTCAAAATTAAGTTCCACTTTCAAACCTTTTCTTATTTGGCAATTATTTACGTCAAAATAGTTCCAAACAGTGTCAAACAGTGCCAAACAATGTCCAAACAGTGCCAAACAGTGCACTCCACAATAAAGTCAAATTTCTTTTCATAATATGTGTGAAATCAAATGTGGAACTTGTTTTTATATCGGAGGGAGTAACAATAGTGTTTTTGCTATCTCATTTGACACTATTAAATATCAAGCAGTATTGAATGCTTAACTAATAAATACGTAGTAGTGTAGTACAAAATTCTCAAATCTCAAGTGTAAACTAACAACTCCATTTTTTTATAAGATGCTTTTTGTAACAAAAAAAAATAGGAGTGCGTCATGCGCACAATCAGACATGTAATAATACACTGTAGTGAAGTACACACTAATATATGGTATTTATTGAAATTAAAAAGTACCATAAAAGATTTTTGATAAACAAACCTTTCCCAATGAATGTTAGGTTTTACAAGCTAACAGCCTCATAATATATATACTTAATAGATAATAAAATAAGTCTCTCACGAATGGTTTTAGGGAGGTGTATTGAATATGGATTGTGGTGGATTTTTTTTAATTCATGGACTTTAATTTTTATATTCATAGACTTTTTATGAATGTATTCTATTGACATTTAAATCCATAGATAAGTATATAGACTTTCAAAAAGTTCATAGACTTTAAAATCCGGACCACCGTTGTAGGACGTCGGAATTTTCACCCAAATCGCCACTACCGATCTGCCTGAATCTCTCCACCGTCCGCCTCCATCACAAGACTGATTGATCCGCCAACAACAAAATGATTTTGGTTATGCAAGGGAACTAGGGGCAATTAATTATATTAATTAATTAAATTAGGGGTAAAAATGTAGTGTTCAGTCTTATTTAAGGAAAATCAAACATATTATCATACTTTGGGAAGAATGTTACTACCTCTGTTCCTGAAAATACTTCTCAGTTTCCTTTTTAGACCATTCCAAAAAATACTTCTCACTTTCCCTTTTTGGACAATTTGTGTGGCTCACATTCATTTTACTTTTTTCTTACACAACTACAACCATACATTTTCACTTTATTCCACTTTCTTAATAGCGTGCCAATTCAAACCGGGAAGTATTTTTAGGAACGAAGGTATTATATATGTTGTAGTCCTACCGTGAGTAATTTCCTCTCTATGATATGATAAGAAAAATTAAATAAAGAAATGAAACAAACGCAATTCATCTAGGAAATTAGTAGAGTTCTACAAGAATAAATTAGGCATATAAGCATGCAAATCTGTTTTTATTAATAACAAAACTCAAAGTTTCGAGAATGCTCAACAAACTCAGTCTTTTTATGATCAATTGTTATATTAGACAACTCAATGAGTAAGAACATTAATCGTTACACTTATTGCTATATGTGGTAGGACTAGGAGCATAGGTGCAATCGAGATTTTCTTCTTAGTGATTGTTTTCTTTTCGCTTTTAGCTTGTTGTATTTTGTTTACTTATATTTATTAATTTGAAATTATATTTTTATGTGTTAGCGAATGAAACACAGTAATAGTTAAAATATTTTTTTCTTAGTGGTTAACTGCCAACATACCAGAATTGCACCGATATAATAATATCGATTCTTTTAAAAACTTTTGGAACCGAATCGATATCGGATTAACGGTTCTACAAATGGTTCCTAATTTTCTTTCAAGAATTGAACCGATCTCACCTCCACATTTTTCATCGTAAGATGATATATAAAAAAACTGTTTTTTAATTTAACTTGTGTATCTTTATTAATGTAGAATCTCCCTGTTCAACTTTATTTATCGTAAAATGGTAAAAAAAAATCAATCCTTGCATATTTAGACCATTGTGGTACCCACCCGATTCGTGATCTCGGGTTCAGTACCCAACTCTTGCTAACACTGGATTAGTTAGCCAAATCTAGTGTTATTGTGCAATTACATCTATACGTACTTGTGACGAGTAGAAGACAACAGAAAAGTCCACAAGAATCTTTGGTGAGAAGAAGAAACAATTGCGGAGAAATAATATAGGGAAAAGTACGGAAAATGTACTTGTGGTTGAGTCCGTTTTCAGATAAGATCATGTGTTTCATTCTTTATCAAAGTGATTCATGTGTTTGAATTCCGTTATCACAAGAGGGTCACGCCGTTAAAAACGTCTGAAAAAGACCGTTACAACTAACTCCGATTTTCAAAAGTGCCCGAAAAACTAAAAGAAAAATACTGGAAGGTGCGCCTCAATAAGATGACCGCTAGGCCATCTATCTTTTTTGTTTTCAGCCACCCTTGTCACCGGAAAGTCCATCGGAAAAGTGATATTAGCGAAATCATTTTTCAAAAATAATTCAAACATATCTGAAAAATCAAAAGGCGGAGGTAGTTTGGAGGTCATCTTGACGAGGCGCACCTTTCGGTATTTTTCTTTTAATTTTCCGGGCACTTTTAAAAATTGGAGTTACTTTTAACAGTCTTTTCCAGACGTTTTTAACGGCGTGACCCTCTTGTGATAACGGAATTCAAACACATGAACTACTTTGATAAAAAATGAAACACATGACCCTATCTGAAAACGGACCCAACCACAAGTACCTTTTCCCTACTTTTCCCAATAATATAATAAGAAACCACAAGAATTCATGATTTTAGAATCAATAAGAATGAACAGAAGTTTGAATACACCTAAAGTTTAAAGAGTTTTAAAAGTCTACATTGAATACACCTAAATTGTTAAAATTTATGAACTTTTAAAATTTTGCAACTAATTCCTAATACAATACACCCTATTTATTTACAAGAGAAACAACGAGCGATCTCAAATGCTTGTCAAGAGCATAAAAAATCTAAATGTTCTTTAGAGGATCAACCAATTAATAAGCACTTAAAAGTTGATTTTCATCACAAGGAGCTAATTAACCATCAACTTTATCTACCACTGATTTTAATTGGAGATAATCAACAATCTTAACTGGTTCTGGGAAAACTAATTAACAGTGCATGAATTGATAGGATCATAGGAGTGAAGTACGCTTAATTATTATAGAATTTCAAAGTCATAAGAAATATAAAATATCAATGCTTAACTTGAGTAGAATATGCAATACACAATCATTTTAACATATATAGGTCTAATAATAGTCCATTATATGTACTTCACTATTTCACTTTCTTGGGGTTCAAAGGTATAAAATTATAAATAGTACGTTAAATTAAACAATTTAAGAACATATAGTTAAAAATATGAACATAAATGTTGAGAGCTTATGAAAACAATAGTATAAAAACTAGCAAAGCTTCAATAAGTTTTTGCATTTCAAATGGCTAGTCACGTCTAGTATACCTAAATTTTGAAGTTGTAGACTTGTAAATTTTATTCTATTACATGTTGGAACTCGGTGTATCCCACCTACAGCGGCGGACACAAAGGGGGGCAATGAGGGGCTGCCGCCCCTCCGAAAAAAAAAATTCTAGGTATATTTACCCCGAAAATTTTAATATATATGTATTTGTATGTATATTCTTCTACTGCCGCCCCTGCGATCGGGAAATTCTGCGTCCGCCGCTGCCCACCTATGTAATCAAATCTAAAATTAGTCTCTTCAGTTTCAAAGATAAAATCATAGCTAAACAATTAATTAAACAACCTAAGAGCATATATAGTTGAAGTTCTGCAAGAGGTTTTTCTCTAAATAAGTTTAGCACTGCATAATCATGGAAAAGAAGAATAAGAATGTCCAAAGCTTATGAACGTGGTCGTATGAAAATATGGTCAAGTTTCTCAGACTACTTTTATGTGACGCCTGTTAATCATGTACGGAGTATCTTATTAGTATCTTATCAAATCATACATAAAACTAAATGGTAATGGGCTGAACTTATTATTTGCATCCACAATTTGAAAGGGATTGGGCCTACCTCCCTCGTCTGACAGTTAACTATAGCAGGCCACAATTGTTCTCATAATAAAGAAAGAATTCATTGATTCATTCATTAACTAATACACAGAGTAATAACAATAACACAGAGACAACATGATGAGAATCAGCACTTTTGGAATAGAGTGGAGTCTTGCATCCTGAAGAGTGCCTTCTCGAGTTGGCCCCACTTTTGGTCCAGCGTGCCGGTGTAGCCCACGGACATCCTGACCAGCCCGGGAGAGATCCCGGCGAGCTCCTTCTCCTCATTGTTCAGCTCGCTGCTGGTGCTGCTCCCAGAGCAAGACATGAGAGTCTCGTAATAGCCCAAGCTCACCGCCATGAACCCAAATTGAGTGTGGTTCTGCAGCAGGTTCATGAAGCGGTTAGCCCGCTCCTCGGTCTCCATGTCCACGCAAAGAAGACCGCCGTAGCCGTAGTCTTTGTTGGACATGGACTTGAAGAGGGCGTGGTCCGGGTGGTCTTCCAGCCCAGGATAGATCACTTTGATGCCCAACTTCTTTATTCTTGTTGCAAACTGGAGAGCCCTGTTGCAGTGTTCCTTCATCCTCAGGCCCAAGTGTGGCAGTCTCTCTGAGAGTTCAAATGCCACCTTCGCGTTCATCGTTGGGCCCAATAGCATAAGCGGGCCTTGTAGAAGGTCCATCATCGCGTTCACCAGCTTTGCTGGCCCACATATCGCACCTATCACAGTCACAACATTATTTTGGGTAAAGATCACGACATTAACGGTAAGTTGTAACAAGAAAATTCTCCACAACGTATAGAGAATTTGATAACGTTTGTTTTCCAAATTTAGTCAAAATTTGCGGCCTTTCAATTACTTTTCAAATTAAAAATTCTCAACAAATTGAAAATGTTACATCTCAAGTTTAATCAGCCACTATCCACGACTGGTCCAAGGATAGAGCCATCCAAATAAACTTCATTCTTATTAGGTTTGACACGGTGATTCAAAAGGGGCTGAAAATGTATTACTTTTTACGTGTTTTATTTTGATTTGCTATAAAAGTAAAAGTTGTTAAGATTTAAGTAAAGTAAATATTATAGACCATATATTTTTTTCTAAAAAATGTGACACTAATTTTGATATAACTAAAAAAGAGAAGTAAATAGATAAAATGAGACGAGAGTTGTAGTTAGACATGAACTGTTTTCCTTAAAATGAAACAAGGAGATGCTTTTGGGACAGAATAAAAAGAGGAAAAAATAATAGGACCAAGGATAGTATTGTGTAATTCTTTAACTTCAATTCTTTTAAGAAATACTCCTAATATCTCTATGTTTGATGAAAGTGAAAACACATGAAGAAGCCCACTTTATAAAAAAAAATGAGAAGAATTTTTTGAAAGGGATGGTTGACGATGATAACATAGGCCAAATTACTTATTAGCTTTCGATATGATTATGATTAATTATAATTAAGGAATATTGAAGAATAGATGATAAAAACAGAAACCTTGATAGAGATGCGCAACTAAAAATGAATTGTCAAATACTCCGTACATAAAGCTGCACGTGAGAAATTAAATACGAGTAAAAAAAGTTGGAATCAAACCTTATCCTAAATGTACATGTGAATCATGATAAAGTATTAGACCATTTGTAGTGGTTGGGGATTAGGAGTCAAAAGATTAAAAATGGAGATTTTAGACTCTTATTTGTGTGTAGTGGAGGATTAAAAGGGGGAGTAAAAGTGGAAACGGGAGTGGAAGAGTGTAAATATAGAGGGAGGGGTTGACAGCCAAACCATGTTTTCGCTGACATCATGGTGACATCATTATAACCCCAAATTGTTTTAAACTCTTGTAACTTTTTTATTTGTTCTCCAAATTTTTCAAAATATATATCAAAATTCATAAAATTTTATGATCTTTCATATGACACCAATATGTAATATATAAAATGAAACAAAAATTCTTAAATGTTAACTGTTGAAGTTTTCTTCCGGTTTACAAAACGATGAAACACAAATTTTTAATTAATGGAATCTTTACAAATAACTGAATATTTTATAATCGAACTTTAATTGAACTAAGTTCATTTTTGTTAACCGAAAACATTAAAAAAAAATTAATGAAATTTATTTATTTTTATATCGAAATGTGTATTTTTTATTTCACAATTATTTAGGGAAAATATTAAACGGAAAACATTACTTATAATGAATTATTTAATGTTTTACTAAATTGATATGTAAAAAAATATGTTGAGTGTATTTTATTGACGGTGCACAGATGCAGAGAAAAACAGTATTGACGGAGTCAAAACACTGTTTTCATATGGACGGAGTCCAAATTTAACAATTTGGACTCCCAACCACTACAAATGATGATAAAGTTGCTTGCTAGTGTGGAGGGCCTTTTTTGGATCTACAGGAGACCGAGTATCAAACCGGAGATACTCCGAATCATTCCAACGACGTGTTTGTTTGGCACAAATTAAAAAATGGGAGGGGTTTTGAATCGTTGATGTTGTTGTCAAATTTTTAAATAACAACTAAATAAATGTGCAAGAAGAATACACTTTTATTCAACATAAAGAAAAAAGTTTCTGTAAAAAAAACATAAAGAAAAAAGTGGAAAAAAACGCCTCCTTCCGTTGTTTTATGGACACACAAGTGGGAAGGGGAGGAAAAAAGTTGTACTACTCCATTGTTTTTTACCCAAGTATCTGCAAAATAATCATCTTAATTCCAATCGTTTGTTCCTGTGGTTCATTATTCCTATTCCATTGGGTTGAAGACTTGACACAAAATACAAGTAGAACATACATGTGCAATAACAGGAGTAAGAATTTATTATTCATAAAATATGACTAAAATTTGGCCTATTAAAAGAATAGATTTCGCCAAAATAAGAGTTATTTTGGGGGGAGCACACTAATACTATTACACTGTTACTTGAGGTTTTAGGATGTTTTTACTTGGACCGTAATCTGTCTCAGAACAGACATGCATAGTTATAAAAATACAAAAAACACCAGACATTACCAGATCAGTTCATACCAGATTAGATCAGCAAATTACAGTCTAAGTAAAAAGATTCTACTTCAGTGTATGGATTTTTTTCATAAAAACCACCGTTGGAAATTTCAATCACGACAATCTCATTGTGAGGATGTTTTCTTTTGTAAAATTTTTTGGTATGGTCCAATTTGATTTCATAAAAACCACATAGTATTATTTAGATATTGTATTAGTATGGTCTGGCCTAATCGAATTAAATTCTGTATAGCATGTTTAAGTCTGATTGATTTGAGAAATTTGGTATACATTGTTTAAGTTTGATTTGAGATTGAAACCAATAAAAACATCAAATCAAAAGAATATCGTCAATTGAACTCATTGTCGTCTCCAATCCAACCAAGCTTCACTAAACAAGTTCAGAGTTCAGACTATAGACAATAATAATATAGACGGATGAAGTTGGGACCATAATTAGACGACCATAGCGTACACATTCATACGAAGTATATGAACAAAATCATTTTGTACGAAAAGAGATAAGGGTTATTGCTATGGCTGCCACACGTTGCAAGTTGCAAGTAATCAAAAGTGGTAACGGCCAAATGTGATTGAAGCAGGAACATGTGTGTAGGCCAAATGTGACACCTCACATGTCAATGTGTCATCTATAGTACTTCAACCCAAACTTCATACACATCTTCTCACATAATCTACTACTCCGTATTTAAGATATCAAAGTTTATTATTATTATTTTTAATTATTAAAAGTGAAATAGTTATCTAAGATTTAATTTTACATATCGATACGATTTAAAAGTACTACCTCCGTCACAAATTGATTTGCGAATTTGACTTTTCTTGGTCAAACAGTTTCGTTTTATTCACTTAATTAGGATGTCAATTTTTAATTATATTTTAATTCGGAGTTTACAACTTTAAAGAGATTTTAATGTAGTTTCTGAATATATAAATTTTACTTATTAAAAATTGAATTACTTATCGATAGGGAGCATTGACTTTTATTATTGGTTCACAAAAAAATATTGACTTTGCAAAAGAATTTAGGATGGAGGGAGTATAAGTTTTGTCCTCGATTAAAATCAGTTGACATTAATTCTAATTATACACCTAGTGTCCTAGTAAAAGAAGTAGAAATATAATCAACCAAACATTTCAGTCCAGCTGGTTGTGAGGTTACCGTGTCAGAGGTTTCCAGTTCAAAACCCGCTAGGCACATAAGGGTTCGAAACTCAATGGAGTGAGTTTCAACCCTGATTACTCCAGACCCCTCAGCCCCCCTCTTAGACCTCTTGGGGTAAAAAAGGGCGAAATTCATAAGAATAATTCATACTTTTAGGGGTTCTATAATAATAATCCCTACTGAGAGTGTCTATACAAATAATTCAAACTAGCTATAGTGTCCACAAGAATAAATTGGGGTGAATTTAGATTAATTCCCTTTTTATACTATCAATCTCTACTCTCACTTACCACTTCACCGCTCATCGAAGTGAATTAAAACTAAAACCCGTTTAATCTTAATGTCATGTCCTCCATACGTGGTTTTTTCTAGAATAATGTTACATGAAAAGAAGAGTGATAAAGGAGAAAGTAGAGGTAAGATTTAGAATTGAATTAAATGGGAAATAATTTTATCTCATTTTATTCTTGTGAACATTATTGCTAATTCGGATTATTTTTATAAATACTTTCGGTAGAGATTATTATTGTAAAATCCCTAAAAGTAGAGATTATTTTTGTGAATTTCGGCTAAAAGGATAGAAATACAATCAATATCAAACACTGAATGTGATAACTGAAAAACGACACGTGGACTGGAACGGAAGCATTGACCAGCGAACGAAATGGGAGGAATTGAATACACCAATTTCTGTAACGTACCTGCAATGATGTCGGCCCCACCGCTGACGAACTTGGAGACACTGTGAACGACGACGTCCGCCCCCATTCTCGCCGGCGACAGCACCATCGGCGCGAACGTGTTGTCCACAACCACCGTGACTCCCTTATCGTGCGCTATCCTGCACAGCTCCGGAATATTCGCAACCGTCAGCGTCGGATTCGCCACGCTCTCGAAGTACAGCACCTTCGTCCTCCCCTCCACGATCGCCTCCCTGACCGCCGCCAGGTCCCGGATGTCCACGAACGACGTCGTCGTGTTGCTCGTCCTCGGCAGGAAATGCGTCAGCAGCGCGTGGGTCCCGCCGTACAGGGTCTGCGACGCCACCACGTGGTCCCCGCAGCTGAGCAGCTGGAACAGCACCGCCGAGATCGCCGACATGCCGGAGGCGGTGCAGTACGCCGCCTCCGTCCCCTCCATCGCCGCCATCAGCCGGCTGAGGTTGAGGACCGTCGGATTGAAGTGGCGGCTGTAGATGAAGTAATCGCGATCTGGGCCCAATTCCCCGGCGAACATTCGGCGCAGGGTCTCCGGCTCCATCACCGTGAAGGTGGCGGATGCCTCGATTGACATGTTCACGCCGCCGTGCTCGCCGAACTCGTGGCGGGCACTGGCCAGCGCCGCTGCGGGATCCTCCCGTGGATCCGACGGAGGTTTCCCGCCCTTCTTCGCCTTTAGCGTATCATCGCGTTCCCATTCGTCGGAACCCGGCCTCTTCTTGTTCGAAACGTTGATGTTTTGATGGATGGTATCCGCCATTTTTGTGCAGAAAACAGAGAATGGATTTAGGAGTTTGAGTTGGAGGTTCTGGATGGATGAAGTTTGAGCGATTCACGACTACAGAGTGTCTATTTATGATGCCCGTGGGCACATCATTGTTGTAGATTAATTTAATTTAATTTGTTTTACTATTAAAGGGATGTATGGCAATTCTAATTTGTAACCGAAACAAATGACCTTCCTAATTTTTTCTTTAAAAAAAATTATATGATTATATGATGAGATGAAGGACTTGTATTAGTCTTATTTTGACCATATTAGGAGAGTGTTTGGATCTGATTTCTTAAAACTGTTTCTATTCATTCAGAGAGCAAAATTAGAAGTTGGAATGTTTTAGTAAAAGTGCAAATGTGATTGTAGTGCTTTAATTTACTCCCAGAATCATTTTTTTAGAAGCTGGGGAGACCAGCTTCTGAAAACTGATTCTGATTCTGCTTTTGCTTTATAAAAGAAGCAAAATCAGTTTTAAACACCCTGTAGATAAGTATTGTTTTGATTATAAAAATGGGAATTTTCAGCTTTGAAGAAATTGAGCCAATATAAATAATGATGGGACTCATCATTGTTATTAGATTAATTCATATTAGTATAATGAAAATATTATCATGCTTAACTCATCTTGATTAATTCATAATTAAATACACATTCTCTATAAGAATTTATGTTTTGTCCTTTTTAATTCTAAAATAAATTTCATTTGATTATTTTTAATGCAGATTTTTATGTTATACTTACCTCTGTTCTTAAAAGGTTGCAATATTAGAAATTTTACGCTATTCACATCCTCTACTTTAACTACATTTTATTTACGAATACACTAAAATTTTAATTTTAAATTTTCGCTTTAAATTTTCCAAAAATGAATGTTTTGAAATTCTTACAATTAGAGAATTAAATATATTGATGGTCAAAGTTGTACAGTGACATACGTGAAAATAAAAGAGTATTGTAACTAAAAAAAGAACTGATGAAATAATAACTATGACTTGTTTATATATATTACTATTACTAGTAATTTCTTCACACTAAATACTTTATTATTTATGCTATGAAGAAGGTTAAGATCTATATTGAATCCAAGGAATAAATAGCTACATTTACGACATTTCTAATTAATGTGAATACAAAGTTAATTAATTTTGGGTTATACGGGATATAAATTTAAATTTTAATAATGAACGTATCTAGATTGAACTTGGATGAAAATATGGGCAGAATAAAGACAATCGTCAATTGTCTACATACAGAGTGAATCAGGTCGTTTTTTGCTAAAAAAGGAGACCTAGCCTCCGTAATACCCATATACGATAGTAAATCGTATTTGTAGGACGTATGATATTTCATGTTTGAGAAGAAAAATGTTTGTGTACTTTCTTTGACCATTTGACAATTGACTTACAGACCTACCACTTCTTAAAAGTTACCTAGTACTCCTACAAATTAGGTAAAACATTTTTTGGGTGGTCTTTGTTTCTTTAATTGGGATTAGTTTTGGACATGTGACCTTCTTTTTGGGCGTAACACAAAGTGCTTGACCTTCAGTAAAACATTAACGGCCTGTTTGGATTGAGTGTTAACGGGTGTTGGTAATGAAAGTGTTAGTAAGTGTTAGTAACGGCCCGGAAAGGAAGGTAAGTGTAAGTGTTAAATACTCCCTCCGTCCCGTTGGAATGTTCCCACTTTCCTTTTTTGGATGTCCCAATGGAAAGTTCTCATTTTCCTAAATGGAAAGTTATCCTACATCAAAACAGTGTCAAACAGTGCAAAACAGTGTCAAACAGTACCAAACAGTGTCAAACAGTGTCCAAACAGTGTCCAAACAGTAAAATTTACCCCTGGTAAGTTTATTTCCTTAATATGTGTGTAGGTCAAACCGGGAACATTCCAACGGGACGGAGGGAGTATAACCTTACCTTGTTTGGGAGAGCTAAAAAATTGAAGTGTTAGTAACGGAATTGTTTTCACATAAATTGACAAAAATATCCACAAGTAAAAATATCTGCCAGTGGGTTTTCAGCAAAGTAATTAGTCCAAATACCTTAATAGCTGTTGGTGAGTGAGGTGAAGATTCTAAATAAAATGTAAAACATGAAAAAGTGTGGAAGTGTGGAACTGTTGGGAGAATCGAACATTAGCAAAGTATATGAAATTAATATTTAGGGCTTTTTTATTAAAAAAAATTGCTTTCAGTTTATTCATGACACCAATCATTGATAAACCTTTCCACTTACAGATGGACTTGTTCGTATATTTCAGAGTATGTAAATTCGAGTATATATATTCATATATTGGTCAGAGAACAAGAAAACACATCAACCCGAGAATATATCTATGTACATCGAATAACAATATAGCAAGTACTGAATGAATAAATCGAAAAAGATGAAAAACAATTGAGGAAAAAAGTCTGTGGATGTAGAAGGAGCTGCTGGAAGAAGAACCGCAGGAGTGAAGAAGGAGAACCGTCTTTGCTGCGGAAGAAATAGAGAGGACGTGTGGAAAATAGATTTTGAAATAAGAAGGGCAAATGTTGTCCAACACTTCATTACACCCCAAATTGGGGTGTTAAAAAAATGATAAATATAGGTGTTAGGAAGGTTATTGTTAACACCCTTAAACACTTACTAACACCTTTGGATTTTTTTAATTTTTCTCCCAAACAGGTGTTAAACTAAACACTCCCCAACACTTTCATTACTAACACTCCCCAACCCAATCCAAACAGGCCGTAAAAGAAGACATTATTAAATATATTCAAATTCATCTACAAATTAATATTATATTTAAGCTTTTTATATATAGTACTACTACTTTTTCACTATTCTTTGGTATGAGGGGATGGAGCAATGATTTATGATTGGGAGAGGAGAGTATTTTTTTTTAATTACAATAATACTAGTATTATTACTAAGTTTATTTGTAATCAATAGCGGGACAAATGAAAGTACCATAATTTAATTGAGAAACAGTACATCACTTAGTTCTTATAAATGATTTGAGTTTGTGGCAAATGAGAGGGTTTTATTGAAGAGAATTAAAAATGAAAACTATTTAAGATTTATTTCAAAGGCTATTGATAGGATAGCTTAGTTCTCTCTAAGCAGAAATTTTATTTTTGCTTCAAAATATTGTATGGAGTTTTAAATAGATTTTGGTTACTGATTATATAAACGTAACTACACTTTATTTGATAATTACACATGAAATTATTTTGGGAAAGATACTTTATTGTTCTGCATATTGAAATGTACTGTTTTTTTTCTTTTCAGTGTAACTGTGTTCACTCAAATGTGTAACTTGTTGTAATTGTAATATACGAAGAGCCTGTTTGGTAGCATTGTTTTTCGGCTTATCAGCCAGCTTTTTCACCAAACACATAATTTTTGCTTTCGCGCACTGAATTGTGTAATAAGCAGAGAAAGTAAAATTGGAGTTACTTTTCTGGCTGTATTGGCTGAAGTAACGGTAGATGATCATTATAGTTATTTTTACATATAATTTTTTCTTTATTTTATTAATAAAATATATTTTAAAACTAATTTTTTCTTATATCAGCAGAATCAGCCAATGTAGCCACTTCAGCCAGATCTTCATAAATTTCAGCAGAATCAGCCAAATCAGCCGATTTTCGTGCTACCAAACGAGCTCGAAGTATGACTTTAATAATTTAACAAATTGGAGTGTTTTTTGTTATCAACGGTAAGGAATGTGTTTATAACATGTTGGAAAATAGAGACCGGGAGGATATTTTAACATGTTAAGGGATGAGATTTAAAAAATGGGAAAATTCCTAAATTAAAAGTAAAAATGTGTTGGAATTTCAAAGTAAAAATGTCATATTTTGATCCTCTAGATGGGAGCTGGGTAATTATTGTCAAGTTTGGAAAGTATCGTCATATTTACTTATGTTTAAGGAATAAAAATATAATAGACCTATTTTGCAATTCACAAACATTTACTCCTATTTTGGACAATTTCTTTTGAAATCTCCCACCCGGCCACCCGTTCCACTAAACTTAACCAACTTTCTCATTTAGTCATCCCAAAAAAATCCACTTTCATTTAAAATAATAAGCATGATCTTGCTGGAGACATAATCTGATACTACAACTACTTTTGGTGATTTAATGCATCAGCCATTTTGCTAAAAGAAAAACAAATCTACCATTAGAAGTTAAAAATTGTGCAGTGGGAGAAACCAGGCCATTTGCAGAATCTGAGTTGCCAATATCGGATTCGGCATCAACTCGGTTAAATGGTCGAGTTACAGTTGACTCAAATCACACGGGTCATGCGTTTGATGTGAGTCACCTTACTCAATTTTACTTTTTAACAAAGAAACGACAGATTAAATATATTTACCTTTTAATATAGAGGAAAATATAAGTATGATTCATAAAATAATAATAATCCGATTATCACGGTAATATCCTTTTTAAAACAATAATAATAACACTTAAAAGCATTATTTTATATTTCCTTCGTATCATGATTATAACTTTACAATATTAGTGATTTGGACGAGAAAACAAATTAGGTCCTCCGATCCACTCGAATATATTGAACTAAATTAAATTATTAATACAAAGAGAATGTCCATTATGAAGGAAAATGACTAGTTTATGAGGTAAACATGTATCGTGCACATTGTGAAATTGGAGATGCTCTTAAAATTATCATCATAACAAAGATAGTTTCAACGGATATGATCAAAACCTTGTTCATGGAGAATGTAAGAAACTAATTCCCAATCAAAGTACCCAACACCTTTGAATTAAATTATCGAAACCGTGAATTAAATTTTTCTCCAATCAAAGTACCCAACACCTCCAAAGATTCTTTATTCATTCAATCATTGTTTCGTACAACGAATAAGTTCCCATTTTCCATTACTCAATGAGTAGTAGTACGACCCAACTTCAGTCCATATGTCCATGATATGGTATCGGGGGGAAATAAGAGGAATTGGTTAGTCCATTTGTAGGGGTTATAGATTAGGAGTCAAAAGATTAAAAATGGAATTTTTAGACTCTTAATTTGGTATAGTGGTAGATTAAAAGGGGAGTAAAAGTGGGAAGGGGAGTGGAAGAGTGTATAAATAGAGGGTTAGG